GCTCTTTCCCTACTTTTTCTTCCCTTGCATATCAGTATTTTAGTTTTACTTTTATTTATTTTCATACAGTACTGATCTGTCAGTACCGCTTCCATTTTATTTGAAGCTATTTCTAACTTCTCCTTGCTAGATGCTAATACTGCTATATCATCTGCAAATCTAAGCATATTAATCTTTTGCCCTTGCACATCTATCCCTACAGTTGTACTGTCTTTAATGAAAGGTCATGAAATTTTAAACTGACTATACCATTTTAATTTTTTCATTAAAATGGTATAGTCAGTTTAAAATCTCATGACCCTTCACATGCATCCATAAAATGTATAGTACACTACTCGTTCCCTATACGATCGGAGATGGGAGCTCCAAATAAACTGTAGACAATGACGGCCAATATTGCCACGATGCATCGATATTGTTAATAATTTTAATCATTTCGATTTGTAGTTGATATATTGTTGTTTATAAAGCACTAACAATGTCAGTTTATTTACGGTATTTCCAGTTTATTTAATATTGTTAAAATGTAGTTTTATACGGTTAATGTACATGGGAAGAAAGATATTACAGCAAACAATAGCTTATTAATTTCAAGCTATAAACGTACATTGTAAGTCATTCATCATAGTCACACATAACCGCGATCAATAGCGCTGTAAAAAACGTTGTACATATACACTAGTGGCGAGTAGATAACCGAGTATAGGGATCTTTAGACATGGTATAGGAAAATTCGTACAAATACCTTTATTACGGGTAGCTTTTTATATAAATGTTAAAGTAACATAAGTCCAGCAAAAGCTTTTAATGCATTTATTGGACATACATCGTTTTAATATTTACATGAAAAGATGACTGTGTCACGCTTTATTTTTTCGAAAGATGATTGCATGTAATAGAATAACTCTATATTCGACTATCAACTCGCCAGTAGTGTATATTCTATGTTTCTTTACTGCTATTAACATGCTCAAATATACACCACGTTTATTAGAAAATCGATCAATACTTTTACATGACTGCGTAACTAAAATAGTAGACAAAACACAAAAAAGGATAAAAGCAATATTGACAAAAGAAACAATAGCAGAAAGCAAAGGTTTTGTGGCGAAATAACTCTTTTTGTTTTTTCTGTATGTAAATATTTTTTTCTAATTTTTCCATTTCAAATAATATTTCATTTCAAATAATATTTCATTTCGAATATTATTTCACTTCAAATATTATTTCAATTCTTTTCAACTTCTTATCTTGTAAATACTTTGGTTTCCTTTCAATCTAACTTTATTGTTCTTTCAATCACTTTTACCTGGAAATCCAACTTCAACCATACCTGCATGCACTCCCATACTAATATCTGGTTTTACCCTTAATTGCTTTCTCTTGAATTCTGTACTGTCTAATTCTATGTATTCCTATAAACTAGTGTCTTCACCCTCTCTCTGGCTACTTTTCCTTCTAGAACATTCTATCAAAATTACTAACAATCCTATCCTATAAATACTCTAAAATTTCTTATCTCAAGACAGTCTCTCGTCTACCGCTATCACCACCATTCGTAAGTGCTTTTATCTACTCTGTTGTATTGTTGTTATCTTTGTTATTGTTACTATTGTTGTATTATCTTGTTCTTTCTGTTACTTTGTTCTTGTTGTATGTTTCACTCCTTGTGCCTTTTTGTTACTTGTGTTTCGCTTGTTATTGTTATAAATTGTTAATTGTTATTATTAGTGTTTTTTTTGGCATTTAAATAATATCCACCAAAAGACACTAAAGTTTATATTACGAATATCCTCTCGTTAATCATTTATTTTCTTATTTACTTTTTCCTTAATGAGAAGCAAGAAAATCGATCTTCACCTTTTCTGATTCGTATAGGACTTATCATATTTTCAAATGATTAGAACACTCTTTTTCGACACATAATTATTATTTCATTGGAAACGGGGAGTGCCATTATTTTTTATAAAATTAAGTGAAAAATTTTGTAAATTAAAAAACAGAAATAGGAATATTCAACTGTTAAAATATCACGAAAATTAACACGACCTTTAAAAATACCATCCCAAATAATTTATTCAGCAAACCGCGTTCTATAAGTCGAAACAAATTATCACAATAATAACTCACCTTGGTGGAGACCTTCGTAGGCTCGTTCTTAACCAGGTGTGCCTCTTAATTCCGACATTTAGAGGACTCTGGTTGGTCGAATCATTCCTGAAAATAACAAAAATATTTGTAGCTACAACACGTGACAAAGGTGAATAATATTTTGTTTACAAATCAACACCGATCGAAAAAACGTAATAAAAAAATACGAAATGCTTACTGTCGGGAATTACTGTTGGTACCTAGGGGTGGTCCTGTGTCCAGATCGACATCCCCACCCTCGCCGTAGCACTCGAAGCTCTCGCCGTCCGACAGCGAGGAACACTGACTTTTCTCGGCCGGCCGAGGACTGTCCGGAGGACTTAGTTCGTATTGGGGATGCGGACTTGCGCCCTCACCGTTCCCGACAGCACCCCCGGGCACCCCATTCAGGTGCGAACGACGCTGTTGCTGCGGTACGACCACTGATGACGGTTCTTCTGAAGAAACCGATATAGGTGACATCATGCTATCTGGAACAACAAAATTATCACATTAAATGAATGTATTAACTCAAAAATTAGTACACACTTTTTAAAACAAATGCATAATTCTTTAGGCTTATTATTAATTAGAAATGATACGAATAGATTAGACAATAAACAAACCAGAAATTTATAAATAAACCAGCGACCCGTCCCAGCTTCGCACGGGTGCAATGCTGATCTAAATATATATATTTTTTTGTTTAGATTATTCTCGAGGAGGGGAAATCTTCAAAAGACACCCCCTGAACACACTAAATATACTACAGAATACCTTTATATACAACATTCACAGCTTTTTTTGTCATTAGACAATACAAACCGGCCTCCCGGCCGGTACCTCCGCAACCGCTATGTCCCTACATTTTAAATCTGTAATATTCACTTAAATTACAGGCTATAAAGGGCCATATTGATCTATATTAAATGCACAATGTATTTAAGGTACTTAATTGGATAAGAATTAATGCTGTATTGGTTAAAATCGCTTCGTAAATAAGCCATTATTTCTCATAAAAAGTAAAGGTTAAAAAATGGTTATTGTGGGTTATCCCTAAGAGATAGACATATACCATCCCGGACTTTTTTGTAGACCCTTTTAAGATGTACAATATTGTAGTACATTATTTTGATCTATCTCGTAGGGTTCAGCCAGCGTTTGCAATGTAAGCGCAAAAAATGTGTTTATTTACGACATCACATTACAAACCTCTAAAATTATCAGTGTTTCCCTACTATATTATGCATGTATTATACATATAAACCTTCCTCTTGAATCACTCTATCTTTTAAAAAAAACCGCATCAAAATCCATTGCGTAGTTTTAAAGATCTAAGCATATATAGGGACAGACAGCGGGAAGCGTTTTATACTATATATAGGTCAAACTGGTCGATCATTTCAAGAACGCATTAAAGAACACAAAATATTTTCGATTATATTCTTACTTTACGGTGAAACGATCTTATACACTATTTATTAAAAAAAACGCATCAAAATCCGTTGCGTAGTTTTAAAGATCTAAGCATACATAAGGACAGACAGCGGGAAGCGACTTTGTTTTATACTATATATAGGTCAAACTGGTCGATCATTTCAAGAACGCATCAAAGAACACAAAATATTTTCGATTATATTCTTACTTTACGGTGAAACGATCTTATACACTATTAATTATTCAATCATTAAATTATATTTTTCATCTTAAATGACATTTTGTTAAACAATAAGACAATTTAAATAAACAAACACCAATAACTGTAGCAATAAAAGAACATGATCGCAAAAAACTCAAAAAATTACTTTCACACAGTATGTGTAATGGTACTTTTTTGATGTTGGAAAAAAGTAAACAATTGAAATGTAGTTCATATTTATATATTTAGAAATGAAACTGTAAGTGTCATGTCAGCTGTAGGATAACCTTAATTACGACAATAATGTGGCCTCTTTCTTATGCATTATGTGCGCTTAGTAGCGATTAAACGTTTTTCTTTTTTTTTTAATAAAGGAGCTCGTTTATTATCGACACAATAATTTTCCGAGGTGATTTCACAAGAATATAATGTGACAAAATTAGACTGTGAATCGTCGTAATAGAAAGTGTCTCCGCATACCTTCTAGTTCAACAAAACAACAAAAAAAACTTAAAACCAAAACATGCATGTTGCATGCGTCGGCATGTTCTAAATTTAGGGTTCCGAGTTTTTGAAACAAATTTAAATCCACATCATTAATTATCACGTAATGTATCTACGGTTACGATGGCGTAAAATTATGTCGAATTGTCATTGGTTTTTAAATATGGTCAAAGATGCACGCAAAAGTACCCCTACTCCCTCAATTTTGTAACCAGAAAAAATACAAAATAAACCATTTATATTTTAGGACTGATGGCAGCTAATACGTCGCATTTTCAGAATTTTAATTTCGATTCCATTTTTTCTTTATATTTAAGTATTACAAATAGGCCTGCTTTAAATTATAGTAATCTGCTAACCGCTTAGTACTCAATTTCTAAGCGAAAGCTCTATAAATAATAACCAAACAAGAAAGTAGGTTATCTAAATTCAGAAGTGTGGAATTTCATGTAAAACAGTTATATGTGAGCGTGGGTACTTAATATGCACTTGTAAAGTCATATTTATAATAGAAGATTAAGTGGAAAAGTCTACCNAAAAAACGCATCAAAATCCGTTGCGTAGTTTTAAAGATCTAAGCATACATAAGGACAGACAGCGGGAAGCGACTTTGTTTTATACTATATATAGGTCAAACTGGTCGATCATTTCAAGAACGCATCAAAGAACACAAAATATTTTCGATTATATTCTTACTTTACGGTGAAACGATCTTATACACTATTAATTATTCAATCATTAAATTATATTTTTCATCTTAAATGACATTTTGTTAAACAATAAGACAATTTAAATAAACAAACACCAATAACTGTAGCAATAAAAGAACATGATCGCAAAAAACTCAAAAAATTACTTTCACACAGTATGTGTAATGGTACTTTTTTGATGTTGGAAAAAAGTAAACAATTGAAATGTAGTTCATATTTATATATTTAGAAATGAAACTGTAAGTGTCATGTCAGCTGTAGGATAACCTTAATTACGACAATAATGTGGCCTCTTTCTTATGCATTATGTGCGCTTAGTAGCGATTAAACGTTTTTCTTTTTTTTTTAATAAAGGAGCTCGTTTATTATCGACACAATAATTTTCCGAGGTGATTTCACAAGAATATAATGTGACAAAATTAGACTGTGAATCGTCGTAATAGAAAGTGTCTCCGCATACCTTCTAGTTCAACAAAACAACAAAAAAAACTTAAAACCAAAACATGCATGTTGCATGCGTCGGCATGTTCTAAATTTAGGGTTCCGAGTTTTTGAAACAAATTTAAATCCACATCATTAATTATCACGTAATGTATACACGGTTACGATGGCGTAAAATTATGTCGAATTGTCATTGGTTTTTAAATATGGTCAAAGATGCACGCAAAAGTACCCCTACTCCCTCAATTTTGTAACCAGAAAAAATACAAAATAAACCATTTATATTTTAGGACTGATGGCAGCTAATACGTCGCATTTTCAGAATTTTAATTTCGATTCCATTTTTTCTTTATATTTAAGTATTACAAATAGGCCTGCTTTAAATTATAGTAATCTGCTAACCGCTTAGTACTCAATTTCTAAGCGAAAGCTCTATAAATAATAACCAAACAAGAAAGTAGGTTATCTAAATTCAGAAGTGTGGAATTTCATGTAAAACAGTTATATGTGAGCGTGGGTACTTAATATGCACTTGTAAAGTCATATTTATAATAGAAGATTAAGTGGAAAAGTCTACCGCATATTTTCTCTTAAGTTTTCAATTCCCTATAATTGTTTTTAGTTTAAGTATCATCACCCCGTACATTACATTGTTTTTAGACTACTAGCGATGGTGACACATTCGTATGGTATATTTAAAGTCATTCTAAATTTGTAACTACCGTCAATTGAAATTGTCTATTTTGTTTAATTTTCTCCTATTCCAATTTTACACGACACTGACTCAAATGCCAAGGTTTTCTCTTTTTATCATTTCGCGACGCTTTGAGCCGAAATGATGGTCCAGAGTTCGACGCGATATAATACTGGAATTTATCTACCACTTCTACATTAGATCACCCTGTAGTTTCAATTCGAGAACAGCAACACGTTGTATAATAATTACGATCAAATATACCAGAAACAATTAAACGTTTCGAAAATGTTGCACCTTTTAATGTCACACACGAAAACGCTCATTTTTGCTGGTGCTGGTAGCGAGAGAGCAAATTAGTACCAGTCGGTACCAGCCATGGGATAAAAGAAAAAGCGAAGGTAAACGCAGTTGGTTCGTTGTATCTCTTACGCTGGATTACAACAAATAAAACAAGAACACAAAATGACATACAAACCACATGGTAGGTATCAAGAACAGAGCGAGATATAAAAGTTAACAATAAAGCAATAATCGATTTACAAGAGAATTTGCTACCCAAGGTGCAACGCAAGATAAGGAATAACAACAACAATACCAATTGATTGTACTTGCATTAAAAAAATACTTTTGAAGGTTTCTACGTAATTATTTAATTTCAATAAAACCTAAAGTCACAACGGGGAGAGACTTTAAACGAAAAAAAACTTTGGCTTTTTTCATACCTTATCGTTACACCTACATAAATACGCTGCTGTTATATCTTTCCTCAATTGTTTCCTGTATTGTTTGATTCATAAATAGTGAAATGAATAAATTATTTATAGCCTCTAGTACCAGCAATAGGCATACCATTCCGGTCAGAGGCAGTACAATAACGGGTTTNTTACAGACATGCATAAGTACATAAGTCCAAGTAGGTATCTACCTGTGTTCACAGGTGAAAGCATTAATTAAATCTTTGTTAAGTACACATTAGATAGGTACAGAGAATATTGACTTAAAAACATGACTTCAAAAATGATAAATTCAACACTTAAGAGAAAGTAACTGAGTAGATAATACAAGTACTTCATAGAAATTTAATAATCAATAGTGAAATGAATAAATTATTTATAGCCTCTAGTACCAGCAATAGGCATACCATTCCGGTCAGAGGCAGTACAATAACGGGTTTCGTAAACTGAATCTTTGCAAAAGATCGCATACCCATTACCTATGAAATGAAAGGTTTCACACGGTCGAAACCACGACGCATATTACGTTATTAAAAAATTAAAGAATACCAGTCAAATGCAACTTTGAATCGAGCACCGAGGGTTCCGTACCGTATCAATTACGTTATTAAATACAGTCTCTTTAATTAAAAAGAATACTTAGGATTCGTATAATCTTTTGGCATTATCTAATATTTGGTAAATGTCTAGATGATGGCCCCTACCTCCTTCGGGGATCGAAAGAGGAGGTCTCCCCCACCATTGTACCATAAAAAGTTCGTGGCGG